AACAGAAAAGGGTGTGAGCCACAGGGAGTCCTGGGGGCAAGCCACAGTAAGGCTCAGAGCTATAGTTGAAGGGGGCATGGTGTGTGGGAAGGTCTGTGGACAAGCTGGGTTGTGGTGAGAGGTGTAGCTAGAACAGGTGCAAGCCATGGGGAGTCCTGGAGACAAATTATAGAGCTGGTGTGGGCCTGGGTCTTGGAATGCACTGGAATAGTCTTGGCTGGCTAGCTAGAGTGCCTGGGTTGTGCTCCCATTTGACTGATCAAGACATGTCGGGAAGTGTAACAAATGGCAACACCAGACAGAGTTCCTGTAGTGTCCCTACCATTTGGCAGGAGCTCTAGGATTAGTAAATGAATTACTATGTATTTCTATGGAATTACTATGGATATGAGAAGTAAATGGGTTTCCTTCCTGTATCACCTAGGTGCCCTTTAAACTATTGTTTTTTCTCTTTGCCCCAGGGTGGGAAAGTTGGGAAAGGCCCTTCAGTGATTTCTCCTTACTACAGGTCTGTATGTTGGGGGTAAGATTCCCGCATTACTGTGTCTCCAACTCCATCTTCTTACCTGTTTCAAAGTTGTCTCTCTTTTATTTTTTGTGTGTGTGTGCATGTATGTGCATGCACACAGAACTGTTCAGTCAATCCTTAGTAATTCTTCATGGGGGATCGCTCTATCTATAGGTATAGATTTGATGTGTTTATGGGGGGAGGTGTGTTCGAAGCCTTCCTAAGGCACCATCTTGAAATTCTCCCCTTGTTACTATTTAGTGCCTTTTTTTTTGGCTTAAAGTCCCTTTAACATTTTGGGTAAGGCTGATTTTGTGGTGATAAACTCCTTTGGGTTTTTACTTGTCTAGAACACTATACAGTTTTGAATGATAACTTGGCTGGGTAGGGTACTCTTGGTTGGAAGTCGCTTCTTTCAGCATTTTGAATATACTGTGTTACTCCCTGGGGTCTGCAAAATTTCTACGTAAATATCTGCTGATGAACTTATGCAAGTTCGCTTTTACTTAACAAATTGTTTTTCTCTTGCTCCTTTTAAAATTCTCTCTTTGTCTTTCATGTTTGACATTTTAATTATAATGTATCTTGGTATTAATCTCTTTGCTTTTATTTTCCTTGGAACTCTCTGGGCTCCCTGGATCTGGATGTCTATTTCCTTTTCTAGGTTGGGGAATTTTTCAGCCATTATTTCTTCAAATAGATTTTTCCCCCCTTTCTCCATCTTCTCTTTCTGGAAATCTTATAATGTAAATTATCAGTGTGTATGGTGTTGTCCCATAAGTCACTTAGCTATCTTCACTTATTTCCATTCTTATTTTTGCAGCTCTTATAGGGTGGGTGCCACTGCCTTGTCTTAGAGTTCACTGATGCTCCTTTGCTTCATCCTCTAGTCTGCTTTGAACCTCTCTGGTGTATTTTTCAGTTCAGTTTTGTATTCTTCAACTATGTGACTTCAATTTGTTACTGTCTTATATTCTCTATCTCTTTGTTGTTTTCAGTGTGTTCATCTATTTTTCTCCTGAGTTGAGTGAGCATGTTCATAACTATTACTTTGAACACTTTTTGAGGTAAATTACTTATCTCCATTTCATTGAGGTTTTTTCCCCTGAGGTTTTATCTTATTCCTCCCTTCCCCTCACCAATTGGGACACATTCCTTTGTTTATTTTGTTTGACTCTGTTTGGGTTTCTATGCATTAAATGCAACAACCACCTCTCCCAGTCTTGAAGGAGTTGCCTTGTGTAAGAAATGTATCTTGTTATTTAACCCATCCTTAGCTCTTTGTTGTCTCTTAAACCTTTGTGATTGTCCAAGCAGCCTATTATACTTTTAATATCTTCCAGTAGTTTAGGGTGAGCCAAGCAATGTCAGTGTCCCAAAGGGAGCATCTCAGTCAGAACCTAGATTCAGGCTGATTGGAAGTTGGAGCTTCAGGCTGCATCTTTTCAAGTATTCAAATATATACAGTTATGGGACCACAAATGTAAACCCCACTGGCCACCAGAGTCAGGCACTATGGAGGTGTCCACTGGAAAGCTGTTGCAAAAATAGGGGCTTTAGACAAAAGTAGACGCTGTTTTTTGAAAGATACCAGTAAGCTGTAGCAAGGCAGAGGGGAAGTGCACAGGCTACATTCCCTGAGAGCAGCTTTGTGGGCCCTAGTTGCGTGCCAAACCTAAACTCTACCACTCAGGCCAATGCTCTAAGACAAACAAATGGGCCTCTTAATGCAGAGTGAAATGACTTTGGTCAAAAACTCTCTCTTGCCAGGTGACTTCATTGGTGTTTTTAGAACAGCTTAACCTTCCTGATACCTATTCCTCTCTTGGGATCTGGTTCTCAAAATTTGATGCAAGGCAGCATAGTCAAGAGTTCTCTGCACAATATATTTTCCTGATATACCTCCTCAGGCAAGAGAAACAAAAATAAATAAATAAATGGGACTACATCAAACTAAAAATTTTTTGTACAACAACAGAACAAAAACCCACTGAGTGAAGATATTTGCCAATGATACATCTGATAAATGGTTAATATCCACTACTTACAAAGAACTCATACAACTCAACACCAAAATACAAAACAATCCTATTTAAAAATGGATAGTAGAACTGAATAGACACTTCTCCAAAGAGGACATACAGATGGCCAATAGACATAAGAAAAGATGCTGAACTGTTACAATCATTAGAAAATGCAAATTAAAACCACAATGAGATATCACTGTACACCTGTCAGAATGGCTATCATCAATAAATCAGCAAACAACAAGTGTTGGCAAGGATGTGGAGGAAAGGGAACCCTCATGCACTATTGGAGGATTACAGATTGGTGCAGCCACTATAGAAAACAGTATGGAGGAGACTCAAAAAATTAAATATGGAACTGCCGTATGACCCATTCCACTCCACAGTATGTATATGAAGAAACCCAAAACACTAATTCAAAAAGATATATGCACCCCTATATTAATTGCAGCATTATTTACAATAGCCAATATATGGAAGCAATCCCAGTGCCCATCAATAGATGAGTGGGTAAAAACAATGTAGTGTTACATATATATAATGGAATATTACTTGGCCACAACAGAAAATGAAATATTGCCATTTGTGACAGCATAGATGGACCTATAGGGTATTATGCTAAGTGAAATAAATCAGAGAAAGACAAATACCATATGATTTTACTTACATGTGGAACCTAAAGAATAATATAAGTGAACACACAGAACAGAAACAGACTCATAAATACAGAGAACAGCAGGGAGGGAGGTTGAGGGACTCAGTGCAAAAGGTAAAGGTATTAAGAAGTACAGATTGGTAGTTACAAGATAGGTGCAAGGATGTAAAGTACAGCATAGGGAATATAGTTAATAATATTGTAATAACTATGCATGGTGCCAGGTGGGTACTGAAAATATCAGGGGGAGAACTTTGTGAAATTTATGATTGTCTGACCACTGTTCTGTATACCTGAAATTAGTACAAAAATCATATTAAATTTAAACTATAATAAAAAAATAATGAAGAGCACTCTGCAGCCCTGCACAGCAGAAAGGGCTTAATTGGGTCTGAATCGGGACTCTGCCACCTGTCAGCACTGTGGCTTTGTTCAAGTCACCCAAACTCTAAGCCTTGGGTTCATCATTAGAAAAGGCAGATAATATTACCTGCTTCAGATGAATCTTTTATGAATTAGAATATGTGAAGCTCTTAACACAGTGTCTGGCATCTAGTAGGTGCTCAAGAAATGTTCATTACTATTTGTCCTATACCATTTTTTTTGTGTGTGCTTTGGGAATTTGTGCAAGTATCATAAAACCAGTTGACAAACTTTGTAGGAATACCTTGATATATGAAATAAAATATATTCAAATTTCTGTGCATAAGAAAGCTGTATAAAAAGAAAAAATGGGACTTTGAGGGATATGTACATATTTCTTTCATTTTATTTTTCTTTCTAATAGTACAGCTATCAAAATGCAAACTGATGGGGTCATTTCCAGGTATTTCTTTTTTTAGTGATTTGTTTCTCTAGGTGAGGTAATTTTAACCTGCAAACCCAAATGATAGGGCTTCTCTTAGGTACCAGCCCTCTCTCACTTCCTTTGATATGATTTCCTCTTCTTTGTTTCTGCTTCATCCCAAACAATGACTCTGAATCCTAGTTTCATCCTTTGTTTTATACTCCTTAAAATATAAGTTTAGCATGAAGGGCTCAGGCCCTTGCCTCCTAACTGATGGCTTCCTAGTCTAAATGCTGTTGAAAAACCAGTTCTTTTTTCATGTTCACTAATATTTATACCTCAGGGCTCATGATTCACACCATTGAAACTCCTCTGAGTCCCATTTTCTGATCAGCTTCCAATGTACTTCTCAGATTCTCTACTTATTGCTTGTGACAATTCTCCTTGAGCTCTAGCTTGACCATTTTGCAAGAATCAATGAAGAGTAGTTGGGAATTTGGGTTTACCAGGACCACATTATGGAATGCACAAGAATCAGAAATGGAAATTTATTCAATGCATAAGCTGACTTGCTGAAAAAAAAGGGGTAGGGACTGAGGGGAGAGAATGACATTTTATTATTACTAAACATTTGTATCTTTTCATTTTGATCATGTTAGGTATGCCCATGCAGCTATCAAAAGGCATGTAAAAATGAACATTTTAGAAATTATTTTCAAAAAGCAGTAAAAACAATTATACAGGACATTATGAAATTCAAATGCCATCATTAGGACCCAACTTCTGCAGGTTACTACTCTGGGTTCATCAAAAAAGGCTGTTCTGTGAATGGGCAGGCAAACAGGAAGAGGGTATTCCCTTGATTATTATAATAATAAAAATAATTAAAGAAACTTTCCTTTAGTTCGATAACCCTGCATAAATAGGCAACACAGTAAATCGAAATGTAAACATATGGTTTTCTGACACCAGTGTCGCAAATATATAACTAGTTGTGACTATAAGAATTTCTAAATTAACCCACTATCCCACTAGAGTGATTCTTACACTTTGCTTCTTTGTTGTGTAGTCCCTATGTATTTTTTCCCATTCATCATCTTCTGTATCCTGGTCAAATGTTTCAGGGTATGCTGGTAATTTGTCTTTGGGGCATTCTTCATAGTAACTCCTAACATATTTTCCCACAGACCACCCTTTGTATTCTTCAGGCATTTTGCATTCCAGGCCATTATAGTGGACGTTGTAATGGTGCTTTAACCAGTAGTAGAGGTAGTGGATGTTGTAGTCACATCTCCAAGGGTTATCTTTGAGCCACAGGAGTTTCAAAAAATACAAGTCTTCAAATACTCCATAGTCAAAGTTTTGCAGACTGTTGTTTGATAAATCTAACTCTTCTAAATTTGTGAGTCCTAGAAAAGCAGCTAGAAAGAGAAAATATTTAATATACCAATGAGTAATTGTGTTAAATGCAACTGTATGGTGTTTATAAGGACAAATATAAATTAAAAATAAGAGACTTAATTCACTCTGTTAAAAAGAAAGGAAAAGATTTTTCCTCCCCTCCTTTTTCTCAGAGCATTTACTTCAGAAAACTTGTAGTACTCTTTTGTCTCTTTGAAACATATAAATATCCTTTAGAAGATGAAGGCCTTTTGTCAGCTTTATGAGCCAGAAACGTCTTTCTCAAGGACCTGGGAGCCCTCTCGTTGAAATATAATCATCAAGAAAGATAGCAACCCTAACTCCCAGCTTTGGTAAGAGGGTAGGAGCCTTGATCCAAGTTGCAAAACTACCTCTTGTCATAAAGATGAAGGTTTGTTTTCCTGTTGATAAAGCCAATTTACTAACAAAGTTGGTCACCTCAATTACCAGGTAACGTTAGGATGAACTGTGTGTGACAAATGGTGCTGTCAAGTCCTCTTACTTAAGGACTAGTTATCATTTATCCTGAAAACATGTAGGCATTGGGTTGTATCTGCTCAGCTAAGTAAAATGTGAGATCTTTTTCTGTCTTTGCAATCTCTTAAAAGATTGCCTGTGACATGCATCACATTCTGGTGTAATGCTTATTCAATAATAAATATATTTTCTTTCTCTATTATCCTTGTGGAGAGGATTTCTATGTTGGGACAAGATTTTGGCTTTAATTGTATTTCCCTAACAGTACATGCATCTAAAATGGTAATTTCTAAAATATGTTTTTACTCAAGCAAAACTTTCCTCTCGATTATTAAATTGACTAGAACACAATATTTTATATGCAAAATCAGTTTTAAGTTAGCTTTCTATAACATGTATTTTGGGCTTGTGTGCATTCTTTATACTCACTGGAAAGATGCCACAAAAAAAGGCATGAATTAGGAAAATATTTCAAATATAAGTGTATAATAATGAAAATGTCTGGTGATGATTTGACATCTCCCTGGGGTATTAGTAAGCTCTGAAATGTATAGAAAATAGCTTTTTCCAGAGGAAATTATATTCCTATAGAGTCCAAAAACAAAACAATTTTATCAACATTTTGGAAACATCTGTTTGTGTTTTGGCAAACTATGGTAGCTATCAGCTTTGAATCTATATGTTTTTAATTCTACTGGGAGTGGATAATTAAAACAAATATCAAACACTTTAACACAAAATAAGACAACAAAAGCTTTTTTAAAGAGTAAAGAAATATAAACCTAGATTATCCCTATTTTAGTTGATATGAACTGCCCAGATACCCTAGAATTTATAGGTCAATCCTAATTTCAAATATTTTGTTTCTATTTCAAACATTTTCTCATTACTGTTTTAAAATACTGTTGTTAGAACATAAGGTGTCCTTATTTTGAATTTGGAAAACATGTTCTCACACCAATACCATCAAGCATTTTTATATCATTTGTTCTCAGACAAAACCTATAATTCCCCCTAAAAAGAATTCTGTTTTGGTGTAAAGCAAATAATTGGGAATGTGGGGTGGGGGAGGACAGACTGTGGAGAAGAGCAAAAGTCCAGCTCCTATAAGATAGTTCTGAAGATACTACATTTTTTTCCTGATTTGCTAACATTTGTGAGTCAATGATCTCAACAGTTTACTTTTCTTTAAACAAGTCAGCTTTTCAGATTGAAAGCATGTGTAAACATTGCCAGATTTTATTTTGGAAGCACTATACGTATCCAGGCACCGTGAAAGGCTAGTTTTCATGTTTCTTAAAGGAAGTAAAACTCCTAGTAGGGTGTCTTCTTTCCTTTTTTTGCAATAATATCTGGAATTTTATGAGATTGTTATTCACAGCTTTTAAAGACTGGCAGATCTTGCTGCATTTGTATATCTACCACCATAAGTTGTTAAGTAAGCCTTCTTTGGCAGTGTTTCATCTCAAGGCCCTGGAATAAAAAAGGTCTTTTATTTTAAAACTTCTTTGAGTCATTTTTACCAAACTGCTAAGATACTTTTTTATTCTAGAAGATATACCAAGAAAAATGGTTGGCTTTGGAAGGCATTCAATATATATCTGTTAATGTAGGAAATATTTTCCTGGGACTGAACTGAACAAAGGAGAAAAAGAATACTATTGCTCTTAGGACAGTTTATATTGTGCGTCAGCAAGAAAAACACATTGGGTTAACAACATCAAAAGTCCTTCAGGAGATCCCAAGGGTGGAAAAGGAATCCTTTCAATTATGGGAATTTCATAACTGATGAGGGGAGAATATCACTAGAAGTAAAACAAACCCATTTTGTACTATTATCTATCTCTCTGCATTGTCTTCTCTAATTTTTCTCTAGTTTTCTTTACATAATGTAGTTTTATTATAATTAAACATTGTTTGCACTATTATTCACTACTTTAATACATTTAACTTAGGCCACTAATATTATAGTCTCTTTTAGATATAGCTGTAAAACTTGTTTGCATGGATACTTTGGATAATTAGCTAAGGTCAAAGGAAATCAGACACTTGCCGAGGGACCTGTGACACAGCATGCTTGTCTTGAGGCTCTTTGGTTCTCATGGAGCAAAGGAGGGTCCTACCTCCAGACTCTTCTCCCTATGGCCTGGCTGATCTGCATGCTAGTGTGATGACTGCTTCATCTGGGAGAAGAGTGTCTCTGTAGTATTCCTACTCACTGTGAAATGAAAATTGCTTCTGACTTCACAGTTTGAAGATGCTGCCATGTTTATACTATCTGTACAGACTAAGGTAAAAGCGTGGCATATTGCTGGTCCCTTCGGAAATTTTTAAAATTATGATTTTCTTAATATTTTAAAACGTTATTAATGCTAAATATGGTTGTATAGCTCTAGAACATTCATTTTCAATTTTTAGTTCTACAACATTAAGGTCTTAATGTTCTATTAATGGTATTAAGCTACCATTAAGAAAAGCAGAAGAAACAATTGTACTCAAAATGTTTATGACATTAACATTGCATTATTAATAGTATTAATAATCATTTTTGTAGATAAGATTTTTCAATTGAAGGAGCACTGTTAAGGCACATATTTTATATATATATATATATATATATATATATAATCTGATTACTAGTGCAGTAATTCTCAGTTCTTCTAAATCCAGTGTATAGTTTACCACTCTTGTTTTTGCAAGAAGCTTTGCCTAGAAAATGGAAAAGAGATTTGAAGGATAGAAAAGAGAACTGATCTTGACCTAGGATTAGATAAAATATGATTGGCTCTTGTTTGAGCACATTTTATCTTAATTTATAAACTCGGTGCTTAGCAGCTTGTTTCAAGTTTACTTTAAATAAGTCATTGAAGTCATACTTTAGACAAGTTGGAACTTAACGAATAACAGAGAAAATGCCAAATCTGAATTTCCCTTTAAAAATCACTACATGTTTAGAATTTTATTGACCACTAGCCATACATCCACACTTTTATACTGTATTATATAAAACATTTTTACTGGGGCCAATTAAGTAACTGTTGTTTAGTAATATATAGTATTATATACTTCATCAAACAATAGTTTGGCAAATATTTTGAGTGCTAAACAAGTTCTAATTTAATCTAAACAAGTGCTAATTAAACAAGATCTAAATTCATAACATTTAATTTAAATTTAAATATTTTATTTTTTTTAACTTAATTGTATTTACTATAAATGTTGCCATAAGGGAAAGAGATAGAGAACACATGTCACCAGTTTAAAGAGCTATTCTGCGGAACTTACCAGGATCGATGAACTCAATGCCATTGCTGCTCAGGTTTAATTTCTTTAGCTTATGAACATCCTCAAACTCCTTGGGTCGAAGTTGGTTGATTTTATTATATGACAAGTCAAGTTTAACAATATCTGGAGGGATGTTGTTAGGAACTTTCTTCAACTCTGGAAAAATTAATAATATTCAGATTATCAACTTCTCCTGTTGCTCTCTTTTCCTCTTACCACTCTTACAATTAATTGTGTGACTGAAGCACCAGCTCTTAAAGGGGAAAGGATATGGAAAGCCAGAGAACACTGGTATGAGCAAGACTTAGCACGTGCTAAATTCCACCAAAGCCCAGTGGTGTTTAGAGGAGCACTCTTTGCTGAGCTTCCTCGAGGCAGCTGTGAGGAATCAAGAAGAGCAGGAGGCAGCACAGCTCAGGTGTCTCAGTCATCACATGGACTCACTCCTGCCTGTCCTTTAGAATCACCTAGGAAGCTTTACAAAAAGAAAGCTGAAATGAAATAAAATAAATCATACCTTCTATTTGTGCCCCTCCCAATTCCCTTCATACTCCCTTGGAGTTTTCACTATTAATTTTTGCCTCTTGGATGGACCTTTTTTTTTATCCCTCTCCTGAGGCCAACAAATAAGCTCAGGTCTCTCCACCTTAAAAAAAAAAAAAATCAAAACAAAAACTCTTGACCTTGGTGACCCTCAAATTTTTATCTTATTTCTCCTTTCCTTGGATGCTAAAATTTAAGAAAGAATTGTCCTGATTTGTTACCTCTGCTCCTCATCACACAGTTATCCCTGAATCCCTGTGATTTAGTTCACACTCCCATCACTCCCTGACTCTTCCCGGTGGACAGCAGTAACCTGCCTCCTCAGGAACAACAACAACAATAGTCCTGTGGCTGCTGTTGCAGGAAACACATCTGGAACAGGAGTCCACGGACATTTTGCAAGTTAATAGAAGATCGAGGCTCACCTAATTTATCTCCTACTATTTATGTTTGTCTTTAAACCATGCTTTTTAAAAATATGAAATATGTTTATTTTATATTTTGGCATAATACTTGCCCTTTCTCTGAATCCTTAGCAAAATATTCTGAAGAGATTTTAGTCCATTACAAGTAAGGCAAGTGAAACCTGTGAAGAGAACAAACATAGTCCCACAAAAGGAAACTAGAAGAAACAAGTAAGGTGTCCAGATTTATTGATGCCTGAGGAATAGCATGACCCAAAAGCTTTCTGGATAAGTAGAAATGCTTTGAACTAGGTCCAGTAAAATAAATTTATGAAAGGTGATATCCATTAATCTATAATGCCCCTTTTGGTACAGAATAACAGAATTCTTGATAAATTCTCCTGAATATTTAAAAACCTTCTGTTATTTATGATTTCTTAATTCATAGTATATTTACTTTCAGAAAGACTCAGGCTTATTTTTTTTCTAACTTTCAATTACTCAGAACCTATGGTCTTTAATGAGATGGTATTGGTCGTTCCTTCTTTAGTATCCCTATTTCTGTTAAATTTGCTTTTTCTTCTTGATGGGACCTCTTTTTACATTTTTATTTTTAAATCATGTTTATTCTATTACAGTTGTCTCAATTTTTCCTCCTTTGCCCTCCTCTACCCATCCCACTCCACCCCTTGCTCCCTCAGTCAATTCCCACTCTGTTGACCATGTCCATGGGTCATTCATACATGTTCTTTGTTTATTCCCTTTTTCTTTCCACCATTGTTCTCCTCCACCCCCTCTAGTCACTTTGAGTCTGCTCCATGTTTCCGTACCTGTGGTTTATTTCGTTTGTTAGTTTATTTTGTTGAATAGATTCCACTTATAGGTGAGATCATATGGTATTTGTCTTCCACTGACTGGCTTATTTCACATAGAATAATATTCTCCAGTTCCATCCCTATTGTTGCAAAAGGTAGGAGTTCCTTCATTCTTTCTTTTCTTAAACACAGATTTTATTTATTTATTTATTTTAATGTCAAAATCCATTATAAAATATTAAAAAATGTAAATCCATTGCTCCATTCACCTATGCATTCATTGGTTGTTTCTTGTATATACCACGACCAGGGATTGAACCCACAACCCTGGCATACCAGGACAATGCTCTAACCAAATGAGCTACCTGGCCAAGCTTCTTCTTGATGGGATCTTAGTTATCTTAGTATCAATGTGCAGGAACCATTCTAGGTGCTTTAACAAGTATTAAATGACAAGAACCCTAGGAGCAAGGTACTGTTATCCTCATTTTACAGATGAAGAACCTGAAGCAGAACTTGCCCACAGTCACGCTTCTAGGAATTAAACATAAACATGCTCTCCCCAAATCTATGCTTCTAACCAATGTGCTCTGCCTGTCATGATACCCTTCTGTTTCATTTATGCTGTTCCACCTGCTTAGAATCTTGAAGGCTGGCGTGCAGGATGAAGTGGGGGTAGCGGAGCATCTGGGGTGGAATCAATATATTGGGATGACAATGAGACCTTTCTGACTCTCTATTTAAAATAACATCTCCCTGCTTTCAAGTGGGTAATGATAATCCCCCACTTGAAATACCACAATTCCCTGCTTTGTCTCAATGGTAGTTGTTAACAACAGGCATAGTGTACATTTTACTGAATTTTAAAAAAAATTTTGCCCCTCCTCACCATGGAAATGTCATGAGGGAAGCTTAAAACAATGCCTAATATATTATAAATAAGTAAGTGGAATGTGGCAGACACCTTCTAAAATGGCATCTAATGATCTCCTCTACTGATATTCATGCCCTTGTACAAACCCTTCCCCTCGAGTATTGGCAGAACCTGGTGATTTGCTTCTAACAATAGAATGCAGCAACTGTAATGGATGTCCCTTCCATAATTAGGTTACAAGAAATTATGACTTTCGTTTTGTTAGCAGACTCTTTTGCTGGCTTTGATGATGCAAATTGCTATGTTAGAGAGGCTCTGTGACAAAGAATTAAAGGTGGCTTCTGGCCAATAGCTGGCAAGAAACTCAGGCCCCAGTCCAACAGCCCTTAAGGAATCAAATTCTGCCAACAGCCATATCAGCTTGGAAGGGAATCCTTTTTCAGTTCAGTCTTCAGATGAGACCATAGCCCTGAGACCTGGTCAACACCTTGACTGCAACCTTGTGAGAGGTCCTGAAGCAGAGGACTCAGCTAAAACCATGTCTGATTTTCTGACTCACACAAACTGTGAGATAATAAAATGTGTTGTTTTAAGCCATTAAGTTGTAGGGTAGTTAGGTAGCAGTAGATAACTAACTCATGGTAAATAATAGCAGCTCATTAAATGTTTGTTAGGTTTAATGATTCAGGAATATTGAGGCCTCTTGTAATAAAAATGCTTTGAAAATTTGAAATGATCTTACTTCCATCCTCTGAGAAGACATTGTTCCATTTGACCTAGAGTTGTGTCTGCCAACATACTGAAATGTGAAAGATTTTAAGACTTGAACTTATTATCATGTTGCAACAGTGAGGTAATCCACCATTTAGGATCAACAAGACCCTAATGGGAGAGCTACATTCTCTCTCGGGAACTACATGTAAACAAGGAGTTGGAGTTCTGGTGATAATTGAAAACCACAGAGACAATTGAGAACAGAGAGTAGAAATAATTTCTTGGCATTTAGCATTTGGAATAGATATTGAGAATGGCCGTGTCATCATCTCAGAAGGCTTTTCAAAGAAGAAAAGAGCTTATTTTTAAATCAAGAATCCCACCTCGTCTTACTTCTTCCCCTCCTACCACCTTGGTCCAAGCCACCATCACCTCTTGTCTGAGTTATCCCAATAGTGTCCTAAACCCATGTGATCCTGTTGAAACATAACTTAGATCATGTCATTTCTGTCATTTTCCCAAATGGCTTCCCATCCTCCAGATGGCAGAATCCTTCAATTGCTTTCCATCTCACTGTGAATAAAAGCCCAAGTCCTCACAAAGGCACTATGACGCTATTTAAGGCTGTTAGTCTTGTCACCAGAGCCAGCCTCTCTCCCCTAGGTTCTGGAAAGCAGCCTTTTTATCAGGGTTTGCTTGCTGAACCCACATCTGCTGGGCTGGATATGTGACCACTCTAGGACAAGCTAAAGTGGGTTAACCACAAATAAATATGTAGAAAAATAGGTCCATGAGAACACCCTGAAACCCAGCGTAAGCAATGTGGCAGATCTGTGGGTGCTGGAAAGGCATGGGAATTGCAGAACTGACTTTGAAATTGTTAGCAGCAGCCTTGGGTAAAAATAGGATCCACAAGTAATACCAGGAATTGCAAGCCAAAGCCTTCACTAGCATGGCTTAGAAAAACAAGGAAAAATTTTATTGTATAGATGGGCAAAAACAGTTCTTTATTTCTATAACTTTAAACTTGAATGATAATTGAAAATATTGATGTAAAGTATGTTTGCTTTGATAAAGATTACACAGATACTAATTTCTCCAGGCCAGGAACAAATCTGGTCACTGCTCCATTTCTAAACCAGGCATGACATTGTTATTATCTGCTACCTGAACTTCTTGGTACACCCTCAACAAATACCATATTTACTTGATTATCACCCTGAACAAACCTTGCCTCTTCCCCAACCAAGCCTTGCTGAATGTGAGGAGGAAATTGGCAAATTTTCTCCATATGTTTTCCAATTTAGTAGGCTATCTTGGCTGTTAGCAATGTCAGAACTACTCTGAAGGCTTGGAAGTAGTAGTTAAAGAAACATAAATGGGTCTGTCTGTTGCAAAAAAAAAAAAAATTCTTAATTATTGTTCAAGCCAGTGTAGAAATTAACTCCAGAGGCTGCTGGGAGCAGCTTATTGGCATAATTTCCCCAGCCCTGATCTTGGAGGTAAAAATGAATCCCTAAAAGGGGTAAATTATTCTGGTAAATGTGAAGCTACAGAGAAGTTTGAAAACTCCTTTCAATTATTTTTGGCAAATTCATTTACCTCAATATGGCATAAACATGCCTTTCAACTAATTTCACATTTATTTCCTTTGAAAGACTCAGTTTTGCTGGCAAAGTGCCTGTCTCCCAGTGAATAAAGCTATTATTCCTTTTTCTACTGTCAGATGTTTAAGACAAAAATAGTGATCTTTGAGGTCTATGTGGTCAAATTGGCGCATATTAGGTACCCTACACTCACCATCTG